AGGCTCCGAGGGGAGAAGCCAGTAGTTGCCACGGAGACCATATGGCCCGCAAAGCCATAAGTATTTAGTGCCCGATCCTTTACCGGCTTTCCTGGTGGCCTTCCATCCCAGCTGGTAAAGAGTCTGCCTCCAGTGCAGGAGACGCGGGTTCAGTCCCTAGGTGGGGAAGATGCCCTGGAGAAGGCAATGGCTGCCCACTCATCTTCCTGCCGGGGGCACTAGGCCCTTTACCAGAAGTTTGCCTTTCCTTGCCCTTGTTGTTGTTCATCACTAAGTCATGTCCCACTCTCTGAGACCCCATGGACTGCAGTACCCCAGGCTTCCCTGTTCTCCACCAGCTCCTGGAGTTTGCTCAGACTCATGTCCATGGCGACAGCGATGCCGTCCAACCTTCTCATCCTCTGTCACCCCTTCTCCTCCCGCCCTCAGTCTTTCCCAGCATCAGGGTTTTTTCCCAATGAGTCAGCTGTTCACATCATGTGGCCAAAGTATTGGAGCTTCAGCTTTAGTCCTTCCAGTGAATACTCAGAGTTGATTTCCTTTAGGATGGACAGGATGGATCTCCTTGCTATCCAAGGGACTCTCCAAGTCTTCTCCAACACTGAATCTCTAGTTCCACTCAGGACTGCTCAGGGTCACCCAGAGCCCAGAACCATCTCAAGCCACAGGATGTTTTTCCTCCTTCTGTTTCATCTTAACTGCCTTCTTCCTGCCCTGTGTCCACCCACCCCTCACCTGTTCTAGCTGCTGGAAGCCCTCTCACGGGCCCTGATGAATCAAGTCCATAGGACTCTTCGGAGTGAAATAATCCAGGGATCATAGAGCAGTCATGTATCTATCCCTTTGCCAAGCCCCAGACCGACAGCATTTTACAGAATCTTCCCAACAGCTGCGTGAGACAGGGGCTATTATCAGCCCATTTTATAGATGGGTACACTCAAGCCTTCCTGAAACCAAAACTTCTATTCCAACCACAGTGCATTATTGCCTCCTGGGCAACTCCTGGATGATAGCTATGACTTGTTTCCAAAGAGACAGACTTTTCATCACGGAAAATCCCAAACATCCATGTGTTTGGATCCATGGCGCTAGTTATCCCTAAGGATGCTGGGTGATTGAAGGGAATCCATTGGACCAACTACCCCCTACACTTTTGGCAGCCTCTAGCACAAAAGCCATCCATCATGGTTGATCGGGTCAGGGAAAAACAGGGTCCCCTCACCTTGCCACAGGCTGCAGCGTTCCAGCTGGCCAATCTGAGGTTTGCCCACCTGCAGATGCATGGTTCACACAGCAGCCATAAGTAGAGAATGTTCTAGAACCCAGCCAGGTGGTAGGAAGGGCCAGGCACCCTTCATGGTCAAGAGTGAGAAATGTGGACCCAAGTACCCATGATGAAGGGTGTGTCTAATCAGGTTATGTTTCATGCAGACACTGATCCTAAGCCTGCAAATACACATACCACACCCACACATGTACACAACTACTGCTCAAAAGGGAAAAAACTGCCCAAGCTCCAATTCCACCTGCTGAAAAACACAGATGCTCTCACATCTCAGAGTTGGCCAGCCAGGTTCGTTCGATAAAGGAGTAGATTCTCTTTTCAAGGCACTTTTATGTCTTTGCAAGTTTCCCTTCCTTCTCTTCCCATCTCAGAACTCAGGCTGTGCTGAGCAATGCCATCCTGGACTTACCAGTGAATGTCTAGTCTAAGTGGGATTTCTGAGGCTGTTTCTAAAGTCTGCAGATCTCCACTGACATTCTCTTTATTTGTTCAGTCCCTGCTCAGGACAGGATATTGGAAGTAAATTATTTATACCCCCAAGAAACCAAAAGAAAGAGAGAGAGAAAAGAAGAGAGTGCAAGAAAACAGTAATTTCTGTGTGGCTGTCTTGCAGGTGTCTGCCTTTCTCACCAAAAAATATTTCATTCTCCCTTCGTTTTTGAAAATTTCATTTGTGTACTGCCACTGGAGGACAATGTTATTGATTTATTTAAAATATTTATGCTGAATTACAGCATCAGATAGACACATGCATTAGCAGGAGCTGTGCGGAACAATATGCCCACAAAGTTTATTTTTGAACAGAAAGTTGAGAAGGCTGTGTCTACAAACATCAAATGACTCATTCTTCGCTAATTACTGACACCTGCAGCAGAATCACTCTCTACTAAAAACTCAGCGTTTCGGTTAATTTCTGCTCCAATTAGTGTGGTAACAAATGCATCGCCCGCTTGATATAGAAACGAAGAAGCTTCACAATGACTTCGGGAGCTTTCCATCTTATTTCTAAAACCCTAGCCAAGAAATTAAGAACAGACAACCATGTGGGCTTTACGGCCGGAGCCGGGTGGTCAGGGCCCCTCACCAACAGCAGAGCAGCTTCAGGTCAATCTTTTAAGCCAGGACAGCAGAGAGGTCGGGGGTTGGGGATCAGACAATCTTGGGCTCATGTTGCTGCTCTGCCGTTCACACGCTGTGTGACTGTGGGCAAGTCACTTAGTGTCTCTGAGTCTCAGGAGGGGGATAAACAATCGGTCCCGTTTCGCTGGGATGCTGTTGAGGCAAAGTCCTCGGACTTTGGTTGGTGCTCCATGCACACTGTTCCCCGTGGCTACTGCTCAAGATCAGCCCCATTTTTGACCCCAAAACACCCCACCAGTGTTGCCCCCTATTTCAGTTCTCCAGGCTTAGCTCTTAATCTGGGTCCCAGTGCTGCAGGCTCCTGCCTTCCACCAGTCCTCGACGGCACCTTCATCCTAAGCTGGCCCCACCCACCAGATGGAGAGGGCAGCGATGAAGCCCCCACCACAGCCTGGTGCCCACCAGTGATGGCAAGAGCACTTCCTGTGTTGCAAGGGGCCTCACGTGCATTAAGGCAATAAACATTCACGACTCCCACGAGGTAGGTACTACTGCTCCCCCATTTTATGGGTGAGGAAACCGAGACATTAGAGAAAAGCTGTCCAAAAACAGACAGACAATTCACAGAGGAAAGAATCCAAATTGCCCACCAAGCTTAGCAAAAGTTGCTCAGATTCACAAGCTGCCAAGGAAAACCAACTACATCGGTCATGAGACACCCTTCTTCATCAGTTACATTAGCAAATGATTCAAAGGGCGGCAGCTTCCAAGGCTGGCAAGAATGTGGGGAGTCAGGGGGTCACAGACCTTGTGAAACGGCGTGATTGCTGCAGCCTCTATGAGAATTAACCTCACGGTAAACAGCTATGAAAATTTTAAATGCGTGTCCTTTGAACAAGTATTTGCACTTTGGGGAATCTGTCCTACACGAGTCACATCAGTGGTGCGTGAAAGGTGTGTACTAGGGTGTCTGGGGCAGCATGGTTGGAAGCAGGGTTCCTACAGCATTGTAGTGGAGAAAAAATGGAAACAATCCAAGGATGTCAAAGAATTGCTTATTCATACTGTGGGGAAGTGGAAGCAAACTTAATTTTCATCAATAGAGAGGAGCTGAATAAATTTTATACATCCATATTACAGAATATCATGAAACAGTTTAAGGATTTTTTTTATGTGGACCATTTTTAAAGTCTTTATTGAATTTGTTATAATATTGCATATATATATATATATATATATATATGAAAGTGAAGTCGCTCAGTCGTGTCTGACTCTTTGCGACCCCATGGGCTGTAGCCCACCAGGCTCCTCCATCCGTGGGATTTTCCAGACAAGAATACTGGAGTGGGTAGCCATTTCCTTCTCCAGGAGATCTTCCCAACCCAGGGATTGAACCCGGGTCTCCCAAATTGTAGGCAGACACTCTACCATCTGAACCACCAGGGAAGTCCATTTATATATATGTATTATATTTATATTTATATGATATATACATATACATGCCAAGAACAAGTGGGATTTCAGCTTCTGACCAGGGATCAAACCCACACCCCTGCACTGGAAGGTGAAATCTTAACCACTGGACCACCAGGGACATCCCCATGTAGCAGTTCAAAAGAATGAATTACAGTTCTATATGCCAGACTGCTAAGTGAAAGAAACAACCGAAGAGGCTCCTTAAAATGGGTCAGAGAGCAACATTCTTGCTAATAGGAAACTATGTTGTTGTTAGTCATTAGGTCCTGTCCACTCCTTGAGACCCCATGAACTGTGTAGCCTGCCAGGCTCCTCTGTCCATGGAATTTTCCAGGCAAGAATACTGGAGTGGTTCGCCATTCTATATTCCATTATTTTAAGGGGTGTAATATAATGCCTTCCCAGGTTCAAAAATCCCAAAGTCCCCCAAATTACTAAGGCTCTCTCCAATAATCACGAAGCAAGCCACCTAGAAGTTATAATATCAGGCATTTAAAACATCAATAACCTAATTATTTAACACTTCACGCACCCACTCCAGGGGGCCTGTGAACACGTCCGATGGCACTGTTCTCCTTTGTTGCGATTAACGTACCCCGTGATACCAGCGGACGACAAATAGTATGTTAAAGGTACGCAGTGAATGCAAATAAGATCCAGCAAACTAAAGTGAACAAGGGCACGTTCTAGTAATGGTGGTTTACTGATACGTCATCTGAGAGGCCAGGCGAATGGGGCTGTGATGGACGCCCCCCAGCACCCCCTTCGGTGGGGAGCTTGTCTCGCCAGCTGCCCGCAGTGCTGTGGGCAGACAGGCTCTTGCTGTGAGGCCTTCAGGAACTGCGTCCCCGGGGGCCACGGCCCCGCCTGGGAGAGCTGGTCCATGTGGATCACTGGTTTCCCAGTCTGATGAGCACGGCCAGACGTCTGCTCACCCATCAGGGCCGAGCAGGGTGGGCAGCTGAGGACTGGCTGGTCTGGATCGCTCCCGCAGGCTCGGGGCGCAGGGCCCGTCCCAGTTTCATGGAACTGCCCAGGGTGGCGGGGGCAGGCGGACGGAGGTCCAGAGGGTGGGAGCCGGTGGAGGAGGCGCAGGCGGCGGGCTCTGGGTTGGCCGGTTTGCACCGGGAGGCGTGCTCCCGGCTGTTCACTGTCGTAGGGCCCAGCTGCCGGGGAGGGGCGGGCCCTGCGGGGTCACCAGGGCCACGGATGTGGAGCCGGCAGAGCAGAGAGTACGAGTGGGCGCGCCTGTGGGCAGAGGCGGCTGGCGGGCTGCCGTGCTCGGGGCTGCGAGGAGTCGGACAGCACGAGGCACGCACATGCGCACCTGCAAGCTGAACCAGCAGGTGAGGCCAGGGAAGCCTGTCGGCTGGAGGGGCACAGTCGCAGGAAGACGGGAGCCTGCCCTAACGCCCCCTCCCGTTTTCCACCTGCCACCTCCGAGGACGGCTCACAGGCTCCGGGAGCACCGCCGTTGGGCTCGAGTGCCCCAGGGTGACTGCCCCCCGCCTGGCCCCGCTTCACACCTGCAGCCCCTCCGCCAGCACCGGCTGTGCCCGTGAGCTCGGCCTCCGGCCAGGTAGGGCGCCCCGAGATAGCAGCGCAGAGCCTTTAGTGAGGAGGGGTTCGCGCCGTGGAGGGGGTGAGGAGGCGGGGGAGCGCCGGGGACAGGTCGCGGGAGGCCGCCTCACCCGTCCAGCCCCCGGGGAGCCCCTCACGGCGCCAGCTGGGCCGTTGCGTCAGCGCCCTGGGAGCCTGGAGGAGGCCCAGCAGCAGGGCAGAGAGCGGAGGGCCGTGCGGAGGAGGCGTCTCGGCGCGGGAGCACTCGCAGAGGGGGAGCAGGGCTCCGCGGAGGCCGGGAGGCCGGGTCTGGCGAGCTTGGAGGGGCGGCGCCACTAGGACTAGCGGGGCCTCTTGGGTCCTGCGGGGCAGCGTGAGTGATGCCCGCTGGGCAGAGGGAGCCGCTGAAAAGGGTTCAGCAGGGCTGGGGCAAGCCTCGCCTGAATCTGCTCTGGTGTCCGCGCGGACCGCGGGGCATTCTCGCCTGGCTCGGTTTTTTTGCCTGAATCAATGGACGGGAGCGGTTTGGAGCCGTTGCAGGTGGTTCAAGGGGCCGCGGACAGAGTCCGAGATGGACTGATGGAAACGCGGGCGTGCAGGGCGGGCAAGGAGCGGAGGGAGCCGCAGGAGGCTCCCTGGTTTAACTTGCAGGTGTGTGCGTGTCCGGCATTTAACTGAAACAGAACTCAAGGACAGCGTGGGTCTGGGGAGCAGTTACCTTCGTGTGAGCAGAAGGCGTCCTGCACAGAATCGCAGAGGAATGTCTCAAAATGCTGGGCTGTAATTTTCCTTTTCCGCGATATCTTTGTCTGGTTTTGTTATCATAGTGATGTAGGCCTCAGAGGATGAGTTCGGAAGTGTTCCTACTTCTGCAATTTCTGGGGACCGTTTCAGAAGGACAGGTGTTAATTCTTCTCTAAATGTTTGGTTGAATTTGGGAGCTTCAGGCCACTGTCACTGAAGAACACAGATGCAAAAATCCTCAAAAAAAAAAAAAAAAACTACAAGCAAACTAAATCCAATACATTAAAGGATCAGACACCATGATCAGGTGGGCTTTATCCCGGGGATGCAAGGATTTGCAAATCAATCCGTATCTGCAAATCAATTAACAAACTGAAGACTAAAAACCCTGTGCTCATCTCAATAGATGCAGAAAAAGCTTTCAATAAAATTCAACATAAATTTATATGATTAAAAACACAACTCCCGGAAGGTGGGCATAAGAGGGAACATGCCTCAACATAACAAAGGCCATGTAGGCAAGCCCACAGCTAACATCGTACTCGGTGGTGAACGGCTGAAAGCATTCTGTCTGACAGCTGCACTGATGCTCATATGTTGAGGGCAACCCGCTGCCCCTCCTCCCTCCTCTCCCCCTTTTCCGTCCTCCCTCCCTCCTCCCCAAAGTTCATTTTCAGCATCAGGGTATTGGGCGACCTACACACGGCATTAAGGAAAACCTGGCAAAAATTGTATGTGACTTAAAATTCATTTGGGATACCTAGTCTTTCCTTAGTTATTCCAAAAGCTGTATCCACTGCATCCAAAACTAGGGTGAGATGGTGAGTAGCGGTGTGCACGGAGGTCTGCCAGCCAATACAGGCTGAACGGCCCTGCAGATGGCTTATCCTCCCCAAGTCTGCTTCCTGGGCGCTAAAACACAGCAGAAGCCACCCCTCAGCATGCAGTGAGGGCCCCGTGAAATCACCATCATTCTTTTCCTTCTCGAAGCAGCTCTTCTCTCTGAGCCTGGAGGTATGAAATGTTCAGCCCTCGCCAGAGTGGGCACCTCCCCGTCACCTCTCTATCTCTTACCCCCCACCACTACTCCCCTTCCTGATTCTCTGGACCTGACCTGGGGCTGCCGGTCCACAACCTGAAGGTAGCGGGGGGCCCCCCTGCCCCCACCCCCACCCCAGGCCTCACGCCAATCTCCAAAACCTGAGTCCTTCGTCCCCAGTTTGCAACAACTTCCTTGGTAAATGATTATGAAGCAGAAAGTGGTCCTTTCTAGGCGAGAGATTACTCAGAATAAATCGCGGCAGCATTCTGCCTTCTTGTTTTTTTTTCCCTTCCGGTGCAGTCCGTGCTCCATCATCTTAAAGATCTTTGTTTGACGGTTAAGTGCATTCACATAGACGGGTGTGATATTTCTTCCCTATTGTAATGATTATTTCCTCTTTTAATTTCTGAATTTATGATTGCTTCCCATGATGTGGCCCCCAGCCCTGGAACATAAAGGTTTCCACCTCACCTCAGTAGCCACCCTGCCGGGGAATGAAGGGCAGCGGTGAGATGGAGCAGACCACACACACATAGGAATAAAACAACAGCACTGACTCTCGAAGCAGGGGGAGCAGCGCCCTGGAAGAAAAGGTGCCAGCCTGTTCACTTAGCAAATGGTCCAAAGGCAGGTGAGCAACAAGGTCTGAGGCAGCTCACATCACCTCCAATCATAATATGGTTCTTCACGCGGCACCCTTGAGCGCGTGTGCCAAGCTGCTTCAGTCGTGTCCGACTCTGTGTGACCCCATGGGCTGTAGCCCGCCAGGCTCCTCTGTCCATGGGATTCTCCAGGCAGGAATACTGGAGTGGGATGCCTCCTCCTGGGGATCTTCCCTCCCAGGCATCAAACCCACATCTTTTACATCTCTTATGTCTCCTGCGTTGGCAGGCGAGTTCTTCACCATCAGTGTCACCTGGGAAGCCCATGGTACCATTATGATTAGGTTCAAAATGTGTGTTTATCAAAAGATCTGCAAGGACATCGAGGAGTTCTTCGTGTGCTTCACAAAGAACTTTCAGTTCTTTCCTCTGCATCACTGACGCAGTTCCACAGCCCCCGGAGGCAGAGGGAATCAGAAGGCGAAACGATCAAACGCTCAACCCCTCTCCCCCCAAGCCTTGTGTACTCCGTCAGGCGCCATCAACGTGTCCTTTGCTGCCCGGCCTTAAGGTGGTGTCCGTGACTTGGACTTTACAGAGGTGAGCCGGGAAGCCAGGCAGCCCTTTAGCAGCCAGAGGTGACAGGTGACGGAAACCCTGGCCGCCCAGAGTGTGGTTTGGAGACCACCATCGCCTGGCATCACCGCGGTCCGGTTAGAAATGCACCCCACCTGCAGCAATTTCCGGACACTTGCAGGTGACCCGTCTGGACACTGGAACTTGAGAAGGATTGGTTAGGGAAGAGCTTCTCGAACGTAAAACCCAGAGAGATACTGGCACTCTGGTGTGAATGGAGACCCGGGGGCATCAGGTCGGGGCCAGTTTTCAGGGCTTTGAGGCAGCAAGGTCCCGGGAGTTGGGAGGCCTCGCTGAGCCTTTGGGAACGTTTCACTCAAGTGTACAGGCACGCCTCCATTATTACTTGCTGCAGACACTGCATTTTCCACCAAGTCAAGGTCTGTGTCAACCCTGCATCTGGCAAGTCTTTCAGCTCCATTTTCCCGGCAGCTTTTGCTCACTTCCTGTCTGTGTACCACGTTCTGATAGTTCTCACCACCTCTCATACTTTTTCATTATTACTGCGTTTGTTATGGTGATATGGGAACAGCGATCTCTGAGTTACTACTATGACTTGCTGAAGGCTGAGAGGGTGAGGAGCATTTATCAGCAAGAATGAACTTTTTAATTAAGACATGTGCGTTTTTATTTTTTTTTAAAAGACATAATGCTATTTCATACTTAATAGACTACAGTAAAAGTGTGAACATCACCTTTCTAGGCTCTGGGAAGCCAAAACATTCGTGTGACTTTCTTAATTTCAGCATTCGATCTCCTGTGGTGTCCTGGAACCAAACCAAATCCCCCTGAGGTCTGCCTGCAATTGTGCTGTTGTTTAGCCGCCCAGTCGTGTCAGACTCTGTGACCCCATGGGCTGCCGCACGCCAGGCTTCCCTGTTCTCTGTCTCCCGGAGCTTGCTCAGACTCAAGTCCTTCGAGTCGGTGATGCCATCCAACCATCTCGTCCACTGCTGCCCCCTTCTCCTCCCACCTTCAGTCTTTGCCACCATCAGGGTCTTTTCCAGTGAGTCAGCGCTTTGCATCATGTGGCCAAAGTATCGGAGCGAGTGTGTTATTCACTGTTTTCGGATCAGCCAGATTTCAGCAATGACTTTTTCAGAAAGTGTGTGTGAACTTGAAAGAAGTGCTCAGGTGGTTTTCTCTACCTCACATCTGGTCAACTTAGATTTCCAAATCATGTAACATGCAGTTTGGTATTCTGACATAATGAAAGGGGGAGGAGGAGGAGAAAAAGAAAGAAGGAAGCAAGCAAGCAAGCAGAAAGAAAAAATTGAAGTAAAAACTGCTTTTTATTTAGGGGGGACATTCCAACCCTGGTCCCTGGTTGGAAAGCATCATTTATTTACAGAAATGTTTATCTTTAGGTAGTGATTTAGTGCCAGGTATCCCCGGGGCTTCCTAGGTGTCTCGGCAAATAAAGAATCCGCCTGCCAGTGCACGAGACACAGGAGACCCGGGTTTGATCGCTGAGTCGGGAAGATCCCCTGGACAAAGGAATGGCTACCCACTCCAGCATTCTTGCCTGGGTGATCCCGTGGACAAAGGAGCCCTGTGAGCTACAGTCCATGGGGTCGCAGAGTCAGACATGCATGAGCTGCTGAGTACGCATGCACTCCAGCGAGCCCCAAGTCGTGGACTTCATCAACATGCTTTTCTAAGGGGGACAGAGGATATCCGCTTGCTCCCCACCAGGACTCCTGACTGGTACAATGCTAGAGGCCAAAAGCATGTGTCAGCTGAAGACAAAGGCGCTTGTAGATGGAGACAGTCAGGCCCCAGGTGTGTTAGCATCCTGCGGCTCCCGTAACAGAATACCGCAAACCAGCAGAACTGTGCTCTCTCAGAGTTCTGGAGGCCAAGGAGCCTGAAACCGAGGTGCCGGCAGCCCGGGGCTCCCTCTGGAGGCTCCAGGGAAAGATCCTTCCAGCCCCTTCCAGCTTTCGGGGCTCCTGGCATGTTTGTCCATCCAATCTCTGCCTCTGTCTTCACGTGGCCTTCCTTCTTTGTTCTTATCAGAAATGTAACTTTCTTACTGAGGGTGACTGCATCCCAACTTAAATGATTACATCTGCAAGGACGTTATTTCCAAATAAGGTCAAGTCCAGGGACCTTGGTGGACATGAATGCTGGGGGGGTGGGGGTGGGGGCGAGAGGTGCTACTGAACCCACACAGCTGATAGACCCGTGGCCAGAGCCTCAGATGGGTAACGGGCCCCTGAGTTCTCCTGGCTGGGCTCCCTCCACAGGCCTCAGTTTCCATGTCTGTGAAAAAACAAAGCACCCTCAAGGCCTTGATCGAATTCCTTTCTTTA